CTCTTCCTCTGTCATTGACTTAATCTTTGTCTCCTCTAATCTAGTCCCTTACTGTTCCTGGAACCCTTTCGACGATTCTCTAGGCAGTGACCATATCCCTTCCATAATTTTAGTTAGTCACCCTATCAAGTCTCGTTCTTTCTTCTCACATAGGCTTCGCACCTCTAAAATTAACCGAAAACTTCTTTTCGCGACTCTCTCACGCCTCTTTCCCACTTTCTGTTCGCGCCTCGAATCCGAAAATCTCTCTCCGACAGAAAAATACAATGTGTTCTGCAATTTCCTCAAAGACACCGTGGTTTCCCTTCTTCCTGAGCGTAAAGCTGACAAGAATAATCTTCGCAACACAACGCGAACAAAAAACAAGCATAACGGAGGTCTTTCTCTTCCACCTGCTCCTTGGTGGAACGAAAGCTGCACCGAAGCTGTCGATCTCAGAAAGCAAGCACTACGCGCTTTTCGTAGTAATCCCTCCAGGCTTACTTACCTCAATTTGAAAAAACAAGAAGCTCTTACCAAAAAAATCCTTCGTCAAGCCAAACGCAAAGGATGGAGATCTTACTGCAAATCAATAACCTCCTCCACTAACATCTCAGCTTTATGGCGCATTGTGAAAAGGCTTAAAAACAGATTCCTTAATTCCCCCACCCTCTCCCCTCCTTCCAACTTTGGCATTCCAACCGAAATCCAAAATCTAATTAATACTATCGCTCCTCCTTCGTGTCTTCACAGACTTCCATCCTCTCACTTCAATTCCGGCCGCCCTTACTCCTGTCACATCTTTGACAGCCCCTTCCGGCTAGATGAAATTTTCCACGTCATATATACACTTAAAAACAAAAAGTCTTCTCCCGGTATGGATCAGATCGATTACACTATCCTTACCAATCTCCCGGAGGAATACTATCCAATTTTTCTTTCAATTTTGAACGATCTTTTATTCTCTGGAGGATTTCCTGAGACTTGGAGTCATTCCTTAATCTATCTTATCCCCAAAGCTACTCCGGGGAAATTCCGCTCCATCTCTCTCACTTCCTGCTGTCTCAAAATTCTCGAAAAACTCATTCTTCTCAGGCTCGACTGGTGGATAGAACGCTACGAAAAGCTCTCCTCATCACAATTTAGTTTCCGGAAATATCGCTCCTGCCAGGACAATCTATCTATCCTCACAACAGAAATTCACACTAGCTTTACCCGGGGTACGGCCACAGCATGCTTATTTCTAGATCTCTCCAATGCTTTTGACGATGTCATACCCTCTATTCTCATCTCTGACCTAGAAGAGTTAGGCCTCCCCCCTCGTCTATGCCGTTTTATCCACAGGCTCATTCACGCTCGCAAACCTCAATTCGCCGTAAACGGGGAACTCACCGACAAATACCTCACATATAAGGGCGTCCCCCAAGGCTCCATCCTCAGCCCCATTCTTTTTAACATATACGTCTCGAAAATTGACAGACACATTGGAGAAGAATGCGAAATATTTCAATTCGCGGACGATATCGCCATCTTTGTTAGTTCCAACAAAATCGAGAAAGCACTCCAAGAGCTAGAAGTCTCTGCTAACAAGGTCTCCAAATACCTCTCTTCCAAAGGCCTGACTGTCTCGCCCTCAAAATCCTCTTTAATCATTTTTACCAAAAAACATATTAACCCATTAGCTTACTCCATTAATCTAAACCACTCTGTCATCTCCTCATCTGATACTTGCAAATTTCTGGGCATCCATCTCGATTTTCGTCTCTCTGGCAATAATCACATCCAAGCTCTCTCTGCTCGATGCTCTAAGCTCCTTAACATCCTCAACATGCTAAGAGGTACTTGGTGGGGAGGAGCGCCCTCCTCGCTGCTGAAGATTTACAGAGCTCTAATAAGAGATTCCATGGAATATGGCTGCCTCACATTTCCTTTCAACAACTATTCATCTATGTATCACCTGGAAAAAATCCAATTTCGCGCTCTTCGTACATGTCTGGGCCTCAGAAGAACCACTCCTACGAATATTATTCTTGCCGAAGCCGGTGAGGGCCCCCTAAGATCTTGATTTGAACTTCTTACCTCTAAATACATCCTTAAGATCTTCGCCCTTGATTCTCATCCGCTCATAGACAAACTATTTGCCCTTCTGTGGTTCTCCCGCAGAACCCCGAAAATTTACCCTTCAGAAAAATTCCTCTTATTTAGATCTTTCAGCACCCTTCTGCGATACAAGTCCTACATAGCCAAATTCGACTACCCCGCCGTTTTTTCCATTGACTATGACGCTCTCATTTCTCTCCCCTCAATCGTTATCACCCCTTTATTGAGGCGGAAAAAATTAAAAACGCTCCTATCCCCCAGATCGTTTTCTTTGACATCTATAAGCATCTAATCTTCTCCTCCAAGTCTTTCTTCACAGACGCCTCCAAAAACGACTCGGACGAATATGTAGGCTTCGTCATATACTCTCCCTCTCCCCATTTGCAACTCCTATTCAAAACTCACTCCTTCTCCTCTATCTTCACGGCAGAAGCGCTCGCTATTCTTTACACCTTGGAATACATCCTATCCAATTCCGTCTCCAAATCCGTAATTTTTACCGACTCCAAAAGCGTTACCGAAGCTCTTCTCTCCATTAACCTAGCTCACTCATACAATTATGTCATCTACGCCATCAAACAAAAGCTTTACGAGATAAAATTGGCTGGATACGAGAATAACATCGTCTGGATCCCGGCACACATAAGTATACTCGGTAACGAAACAGCTAATTATCTGGCGAAAAGAGCTATCTCTATAGGTCAGTTTTCTACAAAGCAAATTCCTGACTCAGACTTTTATTCCATCCCTCGAAAGAAATTCATTGAAAACTCTAGCAAAACGCTCAAGATGCAAGGCAGGCATAAAGGATCCAAATACTTTAATACATTTGAAGAAATTACCCTCAAACCTTGGTTCCATAAGCTAAAACTTAACAGAGAAAGCATCGTCACCTGCTGTAGGCTTAGAAGCAATCACTACGCCCTCAACCACAGCTTACACCGCTGCAATCTGGTTACAGACCCCTCTTGCTCTTGCGGTTACCCCATGCAAGACGCGGATCACATTCTCTGGAACTGCCCGCTTTACCACGCTCAAAGGACGTCACTCTTGGCACAGTTGGCAAAACTTAAGAAGAATCCGCCATTCAAGATACAGGACATTCTGAAAAAAACCCTCCTCTGGGGTCATCCACACATTATACTCCTTTTTCAAATCCTGTAACCTCCGCATCTAACATACTCTGAATTTTTTCTCTGATCCTCTACTCTCTATCTTATACATCTCTCTAAACCGGTCGTTGGCCCGAATATATTGATCACACCCTAGATCAGAACTGGCCATTTAAAAAGCAAAGAAGAAGAAGAAGAAGTTGTTTCACGTCTCGCTGTGAGCGAAAGCCGCTATTATCATTCGGAAGAAACTGCTCAAGTTGAAAGTCCGTTTCAATTGCTCATGTTCGAAGAGCATCGTTGTACCCGCAATATCTTTTTATTGTGGTATGTATAGCATTAATCTCGAAACTTCTGTTATTATTTCGAGTGCGGTCATTGCGACTTTGTACATAAAAACAAGTAAATGTTTTTCTCTGTTTGTGTTTTAGATACACGACGAATCGTTCTTTCTATCTATACAAGGTCGTGTCGTTCATATACGTGACGTGAAATATTATCGAAGATACCGTTATTCATCGATCATAGAGACTGATGATGTAAAAAACAGACATATTGCCATGTAGTTTGTCTGTTCCTGCGACATGAGGCTGCGAACACATTGTTGTACCTGTGATAGCTTGTGGTATGTATATAGCATTAATTTAGAAACTACTTGTTTGATTAATAGGAGCGAGCGACCGCACGTATTCCGCGAATCCGACGGATATCTTCAAATTGTCCTGTTAATAACTGCCTTCGACGCGGGTCGGAAATCTTGCAGAGCTTCTTGCTAGAGGCTCTCGCGGGAACGGATATCTTGCACGCGGACGCCGGATGTTGCTTGGCGCGAGGCAGAGGACATTCGCGATGCGGTTAACGAGCGTTGACTCTCGGACTCCACAGAAGGAACGTTCACAATGTCTTAGCACTAAATATTGAACAAAGATGATTTGAGCTGTGACCGAATTGACCAACGCGAGAATCTGTACGCGATTGGATGCGAGACAATTCGGATCACTTTTGAGACGAGTAAGCCTACTGCGTACGCGAAACGAACGAGATTAAGAAATTACGAATTAGAAAGATCGATGAATTTCGACCGGTTCTAATCGTTGTCGTAGGCAGACTAAATCGACCGACCGCGGGAGCTCGCGTTCTGCCGATGTGAATAACAAGTATTTTCGGTATCGAACGTTCTCGAACCAGGTGTTTGTCACGGTTTTTCACTATAGAAGAACGCGATCACGCACCGAGCGGGTGATCGCGACGCTTTTTGCTCTCGCTCGTGTTTTGGTTTCTGAGGCAATCGGTTGACTATAACGACGAAATTTTTGAAACTAAATTTTAATGTTTCAACTTTGAACAATGAGACAAATCAATTAGTATAAAAAAAATAATTATTTTTAAGAAAAAGTATGTAATTATTTACAATGTATTTTTTTAAACAATTATTTGTTTTTTTCTTTACACTAATTGATTTGTCTCTACCGTTATTCGTAAATTTTGATTCATCTGTCCACATTATTTTATTCAAAACTTCATGGTCTTCTTCGTAAGCAGTGATTAGCCATGCAATAAATTGTAGGCGTCGCGGACGGGTGACACCCGTTTGGACACGGAACGATTGGACACCGCTCGATTGGACACGCAGTATTGGACACGGAATGTCCAATCGTGTCCAATCGTGCGGTGTCCAATCGTGCGGTGTCCAATCGTGCTCGTGCGGTGTCCAATCGTTTAATGAAGATGATAACAATGCCAGCGCAACAGAGTATACTTCTGACTCTGACGAGAGTACAAGTACAACACAGCATTCGCAGTGCACATCAGAGAAAATTACCTCAACGCAATCGGAAACATTCTTACAAGAGTCTAATTCTGGACACATGACACAATCCACACTCGATAATATAACTTCCCCTTATCCCCAAATTCCTTATCAACATACATTCCGTGTCCAAACGGGATACGCCCGTCGCGGACCATCAGTTAAGCGTAAATGTTGTATCAATGTCATTTTAAATAGATGATACTTGTTCTTCTTTGCAATTCTGATTAAACTTGTACGTGATATATTCATTTCTGCAGCGACTTCTCGAGCAGAAGTATGCGGATTAACTTCAAAATGGGCTAGTACTAACGCGGCATTGTTATCATTAGTCACTGGCCTAGCACGATTGACACGTTTTCCACATGGAAATTTGCCATGTACACGTAAAGAACGCTCAATATTATAAAAAGTTTTTGCAGAAAGATGAGCTCTATCCGCATATCGTTCCCTGTACAAGGCCATTCTTTCACCTCCTTGGTACACTAATAGAAAGATCAAGGAGATACTTTCCAGACCTGTAATCACACTAGTGTCAAGACTGAGATCTAACCATACTGCAACTATGGGTCATCTTTGGAGAAAGAGTATCACTGACTCTTCAGAATGTCTATGCGGGCATTCTTTTCAACATTTGAATCACATCTTCTTTGGCTGCCGTAACACATCTGACAGCTCTAATTTACTCATCTCTGGACTAAAAAAAATCAACCCCAACATTACACTAGATGTACAGACACTGGCTTTCACTAGCGACACTAGAGTATATCATCTCTTGCACAACTTCGTCAGGAGTAACAATCTATCCATATGACCAATTGATTTACAGCAGTATCTTCTAGTTGATGGTGTATGGACAAATCCGCTTGGAGGTCTTTTAGCCAATACGAAGAAGACGAAGAAGAAAGGGGAGGTCTAAGGTATGGGAAAAATGCCGATCGAGGGCATACTTCGATGCTCGATAACGATGGAATTATGAAGGGTGGTGATGGGAAGGTGCCGATCTAGGGCATTCTTCGATGCTCGATAACGATGGAAATTCTGGAAAGAGGGTAGAGTGTCACCAGGGCAATAAAGCTCGGTAACCGGGTTTTCAAGGGTTGGACCACGTCCGAGTGAAATTAGAATGATGAAATATTTGTATTTTATTTAATCTCCTGTTGTCAGTTTTATTGGAAGGTTATAAGGTGTAACGGTTCACCTTTCCCGTACGCCGCGGATCAAGGCTCGCCGGTGCCAGGATTCGGGAGAAGGGGGAAACTCCAACTTACTTTACCTCGGTATTAGCGGTTAAACAATTAGGTTTATTCAAGCGGTTATTATTAAAGATATTTAACACTGAAAGCTATGCACAATGCAACATGCGGGAACGGTGCGTACAGAGTTCGTGTACAGAGTTTCGCGTGGAGCTCGGGAAGCGATCGGTCTGCGATCGCGGTGTTCGCATGCAAGTAACTATGATTATTCTATGTTGAACGGAATAGATCTTAAACACTACGGGGTGTCGCGTGGCCTTCAATGTAATTCCAACTGCCTGACTACCTTATCCTTAAAAGGACGGGGCGTCGGCATTCTCGGCGACTTATCCTTAAAAGGACTGGCGCTCTTTAGTAGTCTGAAGGCCGTGTGTGAAGGTGGAGTCGGCGCGACACTGGCGGAAATCCTAATGGCTAATTAACTCCACAGTTACAATGCGCGGTATATACAGTGCGGTCTTACAATATGAACAGGTCGCGGTATATATAAGGCGGTACTAGAGTTTATCAGGACGCGGAGACCGGAGCGGTCTTACTGGTCACGGTATATGTACAACGGTCTTACAATATAGCGGGTCGCGGTATTTATACAAAGCGGTATTACAATCTAACAGGTCGCGGTATTTATACGGAAAGATACACGGAGACCAAAGTGGTCTTACGGTGGAAACGGTCGCGGTATATAGAAACGGCCGTCCAGGTTGAACGGTGCGCGGGGCGCGGTACGGTCTTATGAACTAAGAGTGCGCCGTCCCAGCAACGAAGGTGGAGTCGGCGCGACACTGGCGGAAATCCTAATGGCTAATTAACTCCACAGTTACAATGCGCGGTATATACAGTGCTGTCTTACAATCTAACAGGTCGCGGTATTTATACGGAAAGATACACGGAGACCAAAGTGGTCTTACGGTAGAAACGGTCGCGGGGTAGTCAAACGGCCGTCCAGGTTGAACGGTGCGTGGAGCGCGGTACGGTCTTATAATCTACGAGTGCGCCGTACCAGCAACCGGGAAGCCCGGCATAACCACGGGTAGCCCGTGACCTGGTTTAACGCAGGGATTGAGAATGCGCCGTCCCAGCAACCGGGAAGCCCGTGACCTGGTTTAACGCGAGGTAGGATGCGCCGTCCCAGCGATATACCGTACATCGCGCCTGACTATTATAATCGCGAATAAGTAAAAGTGTACAAAAACCTGTGAAATATATCAATTTCTACCTAACGTCCGGGAGTGTCTTATTTCGAGCGTGGATCCTAATCCTTTGGGCGTATAAATCCCTAAAGACCTCTTCCTTAGCGGCTAGAGGCACAACATTAATATTTCATCCCACCGCTGCCACCAATTAATGTTGTGCCTCTAGCTGCTAAGGAAGAGGTCTTTAGGGATTTATACGCCCAAAGGATTAGGATCCACGCTCGAAATAAGACATTCCCGGACGTTAGGTATAAATTAATATATTTCACAGGTTTTGGTACACTTTTACTTATTCGCGATTATAATAGTCGGGTGCGATGTACGGTATATCGATACTGTTGATATGAGCGAGCGAGTGAACGTGTAGTGAGCGATGTTAATGAGCTATATTACTGAGCTATGTTACTGAGCTATCGTCGGTGCATCTCGCGCTCAATATATATTAATTAATTAGGTCGTTGATTAGGGAGGAGTGTGGTGTCCCTGACCGGAGCATGTCTCGTGCTCCGCTCGTCAGCTGTCTCGTCAACTGCTTTCCGAGAACCTGACCGTGACTTCCTTCTCTTTAGTCACGTATCTTACTTTTATTTTATTAATACTCTTTTATTCTTTCTTAATTATTTTTCCTTGGGCTCTTTTCCTGATTCTAATGCTTTGCTTTAATCAGCTCTTTCTCCATCTTTTCTGTTCTACTTTACTTGTTTTATTTTTTAATATTAAGAAATCGGTCGGGTTACGACATAAGAGCAAACAGAGATAAACCTTTGAACTACTTTTGGCATGTATGCGTGCTTTCTATTGCTAATTTGACGTTTCGACAGATCTGCTGCGTTTGTGGCGTCAATCTATCGTCAACATCTGCTCGCTATTGACCGCCAATCTAATATGTATTATGACCACCAGATACTGTTGCATTTGTGCGGGTAGTTTGCTAACAATGTTTGCAATACCAAAGCTGCTTAGTATCTGCCGATAATTTGTCGTCAACGCTTTTGACAAATCTGTTCGTTGTTCACTTCCACTTTGTCATGTAGTTTGCCGATTGATGTATTGAAATTGTGCTCACAGTGTTTTCAATGACAAAGTATGTTTCTCATCTGCGGCCTTTCGACAAACAGAATTTGTTGCCTACATTTGCTTCCACAGAAATGGTTATTGGGGAGATAATTAATGATAATGAGGTTTGCAGAGAACCGAATCGATGAGTGGTATAATTGATCTTAACCGAGAACTGCTAATTAGTTTGCGACGATGGTCGGTGCGAACTGTGACACTTGTTCTTGCTACGGGTACTCACGGAATGATCGAGAATCTCAGGAAGGGCCGATATCAATGTAGGAGC